GCAACCGAAGCATCCAGAGCGCTGAATTTTTTGGGCATGGATTGGGAGTCATTGTAATAATTTCTGATAGTCGTGGTGGCCAGTTCAATTCTTTTAGCTAGAAGCATCTGCTGGGAAGAACGTGCCACTGGCAAAAAAAACCTGAAGGGGAACTGTGCAAAAAACGCATCCTTGTACCGGCAGCCGGTACGCTTTTGACTAAGTTACTTTTCGCTCTCAGTTTAACACAAAACGTAGTGCTCTCCCTTGCAGTGGAAGAGACGAACATGGCACAAGATATGTTTTATAGGATTCAAAAATTTTGATTCCTGAAATAACCGAAAAGACACTGTACAGACTTTGCGCTATGCGTCCATTTCGTATTTCCTGGGTCAGAATGACCAACACCTCGACAACAGTCTGTTCAGGCATTGCAACACCACTCTACCACGTTATTTGTAGGTCTTAGTGAATGAAATAATTTGCAGATGTGCTAAATGAGGCAGTGTTTGATGAGGAGCATGATGAAATGGTGATTGTCAGGGATATCGAAATGTTCTCGCTCTGTGAGCATCACCTAGTTCCTTTTTGCGGCAAGGTCCATATTGGCTATCTGCCCAATAAGAAAGTTTTAGGAATCAGTAAATTAGCCAGAATTGTTGAAATGTTCAGCAGGCGCCTCCAAGGTTTATTTACACTCCAGTTCATTTAGATTTCAATGCGTTTTTTGAAAAAGTCACGTTTTGGTCTGGTCATGTCTATTTGCTTGTCTGACCTCAGTGTTTCCTCAGTTTTGTTCTGTATAACTCTGGAAGCAAATTGACTGGAATCTCGAGTTTTTACTCAGACGCGGTAAGTGATCCGTTCAAATTTTCCAAAATAACTTGCCCTTGTTTAGTTCTCCTGATTTTGCGGCAAGAATTGATCACTTCCCCAGATCTTGTGTTCCCTATTGTAGTTATCTAGTTTGCGTTATGAGGGCTGCTTAAGTGCGAACGATTTTTCATTTGCCTTTTGTTAACAAACAGCGACTGAGTTCAGCACTGCATATGCCTTGTATTGTTGAGCTTGCTTCTGGAGAAAGTGGTCCAGCTAGCTACAGAAATCCATTAAAACTTATCATCCAGAAAGTAACTATTCACAGCTGGTATGGTATAACCTATGGTCTCTGAAGTCCAAAAATTTAAAAGAAGCAAGCTTGTAACTTTGGAGCAAAATTTCCTGTGAGTTGAGAAAAACCGAATGAGGCTATTGCAGCTTGTTTCTTTAAGTGTGAGTTTTTTTTCGTGGTGGCCTAGCCAGAATTACGAAGATTAAAGTGTTGAAATTTGGAAGCATAGTCTTCGGCTATGTTCGGAGTGAAAAAAGTGAATCATTTTCCACACAGCAAGGAACGTCAAGGGTTTAACCTCACGACTTAGTATCATACGGACATGACCGCGGGCATACAGTGCAACAATTTGATCTTTACCTGTAGCTACACTACATCTGGCGAAACCGTCTAAAGCAGCTGTGACGAAGTAAAGAAAACTCTTCTGTGTTTTCTCATTTACCCACTGCAGTTCCACAGTAACTTATCATAAAAACGCTTAAACTTTATCATAAAAACGTCTCCATATATGCATTGCTATTTGTAATTTTTAAAGGAGCGCCAAGAACGTCTACAGATGAAGATAAATCCAGGCTGGAACGCACCAGGCGAGCTGGTGCGACCATGCGTTTTTGCACAAAACTTGAGTTAGGTTAACTGCATGAACGGTTGTTCCTTCACACCTACCTTGTGTGCTTAAAGCCGAAAATCATCGTAAATTTTGCATAAAAGAAATAAACTATTCCCGTTTAACGGTGTTTTTTGAATATAACCCAACTGTTCAATGAGTAATTTTCCGTCAGAAATTTAATTGCCTGTACACGAGAATCACGCGTAAATGAAGACTGAATTTAAAGATTTAAGTTTTATTTGGACGGGGAATATTCTCCTAAAAT